ATGCTAGGAGTTACTGTATATCTATGCCAGGGGTTACTGTACATCCATGCTAGGAGTTACTGTATATCTATGCCAGGGGTTACTGTACATCCATGCTAGGAGTTACTGTATATCTATGCCAGGGGTTACTGTATATCCATGCTAGGAGTTACTGTATATCCATGCTAGGGGTTACTTTTATATCCATGCTAGGAGTTACTGTATATCTATGCCAGGGGTTACTGCATATCTATGCTAGGAGTTACTGTTTTCCCATGGTACTGAGAAAGTCCCTCCTGGGTGTCATACTCTCAGGGGGTTTGTGAGGAGATGACCTACGAGATGATTGAGGATTCCTACCCAGAAGAGTTTGCGCTGAGGAACCAGGACAAGTACCACTACCGCTACCCAGGAGGAGAGGTGGGTGACCTGACGCTGGCCTGCCCTGACGCTGGCCTGCCCTGACGCTGGCCTGCCCTGACGCTGGCCTGCCCTGAACGCGCGCCCCGGTCGGGCTGTGAGGCCTCACACACAGCCGCTGTTTGTCTGCAGTCCTACCAGGACCTGGTGCAGAGACTTGAACCCGTGATCATGGAGCTAGAGAGACAGGGCAACGTACTGGTGATCTGCCACCAGGCCGTCATGCGCTGCCTGCTGGCCTACTTCCTGGACAAGAGTGCAGGTTTGCTGGGGGACACGTCCGCTAGTGACACAGGGGGACACCGTGCTGCCGTTACCACCCCGACCCTTAGGGGCGTCGCTGAGAGCCCCTCAAGCTCCTCCCATTTCCTCTTTTCAGATACACAGACTATGAGTCACACCTCACTCTCCTCTCACTCCCTACTCATTCATCTCCTACTCTGCTTTCACTCCCTTCTCACTACTCTCTTTACTCTCTTTCTCACGTCCCTCTCACTCTCTTCTTACTCTCTTCTCACTCCTCTCACTAGACTCTTCACTACCTAAGTTCCTGTTTTTATTATCAGTTCCTGATTTTATTGTTGTGTCTATTCTTTTATTATTTACCCGTTTGTTTATTTACTAATTTATTTATAATTGTCCTTCATGTCTTTTGCCCCTTTATTCTACATAGTTTGGGTGAGGCTGGAAGTAGCGGTGGGTTGATATTGTTTTTCGGTGTTTAAAGCCCTTTGTTTTTCATTGAGTTTGCAGGAAAAGTGCTATATAAAATAAAGTCCGATTGATTGATTTATACCCTCTCGCTCTCCACTCACTCCTCTCTCACTCCCCTTTCACTAGACTCTTCATTCCCCCCTCATTCCCCTCTCACTCTTCTCACTGCCCTCTCACTCCCTGCTCACTCTCCTTCGGAGCTGGTGGCACAGATAATAGACAGAAGTGCTGTGTTCTTCAGGGACGAGCATAGGCTGGATGGGTGGGGGGG